TGTGTGTGTGTGTGTGTGTGTGTGTGTCTGTGTGGTTATTAAGAGTCCCAGCACCTCAGAAACCGGTTTATGTATCAGCAAAAGCCTGTTTCTTCATAATCATACAGTCACGAGATAAGAAAGTCTGGACAAGTATGATTCACACACTGGCATTCACACAGATTACAGCACACGGGCTAATTGGTTGCCTGTCTGACCCCAGTGATTACAGTATTATGATTAATATGCTAATGGCGTCGCTAGAATTAGAAATAAAATGATAGCCTACTTTTGCAGTATTTTATGCTTAAAACACGAATAATTTATATTATTTTTTATTCAGGGTACAGTTATCCTGTTTTATGGAAAAATGTAAGAACACATTTAGTCACAGTACCATTGTCATTTGATGTACAAGACGTATATTTAATATGGTGATGTTTTGTAGGGTAATGATTATACATACGATGTGTGCAAAAATAAAACACTATTTTGATACATATAAATTACATGCACGTTTTCAACGTTTACTTTGATCTTTGACTGACGGAGGAGTCGTACATTACGTTTGATTTGATTGACAGAAATGCGGTCCAATAGATGAGCGTAAAGGGGGCGGGATCTTCCTGCGTAATAGTGTGACAGCGACTGTCAGCGAATGGCAAGGTACGTTTGTTATAGACACTCGCCTTAGCCAATAATAAAGAGAGAAGGCCGTTTCCCTTGGCGACGCGCAGCCAACCGCCGCTGAGCAAGAGGGCGGTGCTTAGACGGGTGGGTAGCAACAGTTGCCCCGGTGCGGACGAGGCGCCATAGTCACGGTAGTCGTGGCGACAAGAACCCAGCAACGAGAATCAACAACAACAATTTGAACCATTAAGAAAATAAAACTCCGCGCCAAACTAAGATCATCCGGCGGGAAGCGACAGGTGAAAGCAACAACTTTATTTCACGCATCCTCCTCTTGTTCTTTCTCACAAGTGCCGAAGTGTGCTAGACACGGTTTCCTCCGTTAACGCGCTTGAACTCGACCCCGCGCCGCTCTCACGCGCTGGCGGTTGTTATGACGATGTCAAATCTGCTACAAAATGGCGGGTGTTGTAACGTGAGCGCGTGTGTGACTTTTACTTGTTGTTGTTTGTTTATGGTGAGCGTGACGTCAGACGAGTAGTATAGGATCAAATGTCAAAGAGCGACTTGTGACTGTCAAACTGCACTCGACTGTGGTCGTTGTTTCGCTAGTCCGGCTTGCAGGAGTTTGTTTAACGCGAAAGACGATGGAGTGCAGGCTTTCGGTGGATCAGACCCCCGGGAAGTGTGTTTTCTCGGGTTAAAACTTTGTTGAGGGAGTCGTCGAACAGCCATATGCGTGCCAGATCAGCTCCGGGGCGGAGGGGGCGTGGCCTGGAGAGGGGCGGGGCGTGGGAAGTCAAAAGGGCGTGGTTGACATACGTCTGTCCAGTTATGTAGATATACATACTTTGTTCTCTGCCAGCAATAAACAAAACACACATATGTGACCTAGGACCACAAAACCAGTCATAAGTGTCAATTTGTTGAAATTGAGATTTATACATCACATGAAAGCTGAATAAAAAAGAAAAATGTATCATTTTGACCCATACCATGTATTGTTGGCTACTGCTACAAATATCCCCGTGCTACTCAAGACTGCTTTTGTGCTCCAGGTCACATATGTCTATGCAGTTACATAGGTGCATACTTTGTTCTCTGCCAGCAATAAACAAAACATACGTATTAAAACGCACATATGTAAGAAATGTCATATATAATGTAAACCCAAAATATATACTTTAATATTATTGAGGCTAAATCATGCATTATTATGGACCATAGAGAGAAAAGTAATATATTGCACAACATAATGTTTAGTCAGATTTATGTTCAAATAATGTTCAGCGAGACACTTTATGACATTTTGCACATAAATGTGTCAGCATATTTCAAAATAAGTTATGAATATATAATGCTTAATTTTTCTACTATATATATTCTCTGCCAGTTTATATATAATTTATTTAGAATAAGTTTCTTTATATAGAAACCTAATATAGATGGTATATTATTGAGGCAAAATCATGCATGAAGATATTTTGGCATTGAAAAAAATCATAGCATTGATTATATAGTCTACATATGGATCAGAGAGAGAAAAATAAAACATTACACAACATAATGTTTTGTTATAGTCTATGAAGTTATAACACTGTGACATTTTGCTTGTAAATTTGACAGCATATTTGAACCTATGAATATATGATGCATGTTCAGGTAAATTGTAAGTTATGCATTTTATTTAGAGTTGTGTAACTATATACAATTTGTCCTCTGCCAGCAATAAACAAAATATTAATTTTAAAACACAAAACATGCATATACAGGTGCATCTCAATAAATTAGAATGTCGTGGAAAAGTTCATTTATTTCAGTAATTCAACTCAAATTGAAGGAAAATGAGAGTTCTGTTAAACAAGTTCAGCCAGCTCAAGGATTTATGTGCATCAGACGGGGAAAGAAAATGTGTTTAGTTTTACATGCAGTCTCACAGTAAACTTCTGGAATGTATTCTATGCATAAGTGAGACAAAATGCTTGACATTTTTTCAGCTAAATTGTTTTTGTTGTGATTGATGATGATAATAATAAAAGATTCTAAATGCATATTCTTATTCTGTATTCAAATAATTATTTAGTTAAGTTAAGCCAGCAGAAAGATGCCAGTGAATTTGCTTAGTAAAAATTATGTTTTAATGTAAGTCCTTATTACAAGGCACTATTGCTTTTTATACAATAAAATATTAAGGCAAGACACTACAGGTGAATAGAGTACAATTCCCCAGTTGACTAATCACGGCAATCACATTAAGACAATTGTTTTGTGCTACAAGTTTGTATGAAATGTTATGTTCAAATATGCACATGCACGATCTAATAATTTACTTACATTTCCAGAAATTAGAACATTGGATAAAACCAGTTTCAATATTTTGTTGACATATAAGAGTTAAAGAGCCTACTGTATGTATCACTTATCAAATCAGAAAACCCTGCCAACAGCCAGAAATTAATATATTTTTAAAAGGGAAAAAAAGTGTTTTATGAACAAACCCCTCAGTAAACACCTTCAGAATATAGATAGGAATAAAACTGTAAAGTTTGATTTATGTAGGCCCTGTTGCTACTAAAGTGGAGAAAAAACTCATTTTGAGAAAACAGCCTTTAAAGATATGTATTGTAACGGAACTCTACAGACGCAAATAGACGAAGTATAATAAAATAAACAATAAAATATGCATTTTGAATGTTTTCTTTCCTCTAATCTGAAACAAAGACATGTTATGAAAGCAAAATCTCAAAATCGACCAGTGCATGGAAAGTGTAACTGTGCAGGAATAATCTCCAGGGCAATACCATCTATCATTAAAACAAGTAATGAAGTCTAAATCTGTTTGCTTTCAACATCCTGCAGGGCTTAATCTGTGCTTTTCATTTCTGTTTGCAGGGGGATTTGGGCTGTTGTCGTCATGGCAACTTCAGGCTACCCCGCTGAGGAGCTTCCGCCCTCCCAATCACAAGGGGGCAACGTCACGACGGCCTCGTCGACCTCGTCAACCCAGCAGAAAGCCACTTCCACCACCACCTCATCCCAGTTCCTCTCCGACATCCAGAGCTCGCCGGGATCCGCTCCTGCGCAGACGGCCTCTATCATAAGAGTGCAGGCCACGCCCCCTGTCACTCAAAAGAAAGCTGTTCTGGCCACGCCCCCTCAAGGAGTCGTGACAGCAGCGCAGTATGAGGCAGGAGAGATACAAAGCTCCGCCTCCCAGTACATAGTGGTGACCGTCACCGGTGAGCACGCGCACTTTACTAGATACATGTGGACTTAACTTTCTGCTAGTTAGGACTGAAGCTGCAGAGCAGACCGCTGGTTTATATGCATTGCGTGTATGAAAGTGTGTGTAATGTGATCTAACAGACACCTGACACTTTCTAGGCCTCTCCCTGAATAGAAGGACCTCGAAATAAACGCACAAGAGTAGCAGTGCGTATCGCAGCCCGACAAACACACACGTTCCCTTCTGCTTTTTGTTTAACACACTCACACATACACACGTTTTTTCTGATGACTGAACATTGTAACGCTCTAATTGGCAGCCGATATGACAGCACTGCCTACTCAGCGTCCGCAGTGTGTGGATGAACTTCTTACTGCGCGCAGCAGCTTTATTAACTGCCAATACTGAGACCTGACAGACTGAATATAGTGACCAAAATTTTTTTTTATTTATGTCAATATCAAAAGAAAAATATCAGAATTAATATCAAAAGAAAAAATGACACTAGCATTGAAAAGGTTTTTTAAAAAAATAATAAATTAATACTTTTATTCAGAAAGGATGCATTAAAATAATCAAAATTGACAGCATATTTGTACAACATTTTAAATAAATGCTTTTGTTTTGAACTTTCAATTATAATGGTTTCCAAGTTAACACTAATAATGTTTTCGACATATATAGTAATATGAAATGCTTCTTGAGCAGCAAATCTGCATATTATACTGATTTCTGAAGGATCATGTGACACTGAAGACTGGAGTAGTGATGCTGAAAATTCAGCTTTGATCACAGCAATAAATTACATTTTACAATATATTCACATAGAAAGTAGTTATTTTTAATTGCAATAATATTTCACAATATTGGTGTTTTATCAAATAAATGCAGCCTCTGTGAGCAGAATATACTTCTTTCAAAAACATAAAAAAATCTTACTGACCCCAAATTTTGAAAGGTATGTATATTGAGTGAATTTATTTATATACATAAACATAAATTACTTGTATATTTAAAATTCATGATCAACACTAATAGAAAATAAAAATTTGATTTTGATTTTAAAAATCTATTGTAAAACTCGATTTTTATTTTTTGTTATATAAACATCAAAATAAAAAATATATTTATTTAAATTACATATATATTATTAAAATCTCAACATAACAACATAAATTCCATGTATGTGAATATGAAATGAATGCTGAGCAATTAAGAAGTCTCTATGAAATTAGACTAAAATTAACTCTTTTTATGTTAGACAATCATTTCATAAAAGTATATAGCAGATGATGAACATTAATCTGCTGTATGAAAAAAGACAGCAGCAAAACACCCGTAGAAAGGCTTTCGTTTAAAGCTGATCACAAGGATTGTGATATCACAGAATAATTTACTCGAGTAGAGAGATAAACGTGAGGATGTAGGAAAATACAGAATGGAAACCAAAGTAAAAAGCACAGGTAAAGTAAAGCTTGATTTCTCCTCTCTCAATCTGATACCTGTGTTTACCTGAACGAGAGATTTCTCGGCCCATCTGTGGAGATTAATTGTTCAAGGCTGGCCCATATGAGCCTGATATAAAGAGAAATGGCTGCATGTGTGTCTGTGTTCAGATCATGTTCTACAGTAGCTGTCTGTACAGTCTGGATGTGCTGTACCGTAAGTGTGAGCTCATGTTAACTGATTTCGATGGTTGTGTGTTATTGTTTTGGTATTATTTCCTCCTGTAGGTTTTGTACTGAGCAAAACGAGTCTTCAGTCATTATTTCCTCTTTTCTGAGAGCGGTTTTGTCATGTGTTTCCTTCTCATTTCTGTTTTCTGTCTCTTTATTTTTCTCTTCAGTGTGTTTTCCTCTCATTGTGTGTGTCTCTCTTGTACACACGCACACACATAAGATCTGCAGTGTGAGATTCAGTAGTGTGAAGTGGCCATATTCTATACTTCTGCTGCATTCTTGTTTATAATAATTTTTTGTAACCCAAAATGTTCCTCTAAACTAAAACAGGTTGCTCATGAAATTGAGTTCTTACGGTTACAGTGTATTTTTATACAGTTGTATGCAAATGAGTTTCTGTCTGAGAATCTGAGTAGTTTGGCTTGTTTTTGGTCTGTCTGTCTCTGTGTAGAGGACTCACTTCACTCCAATGACTCTGAATCGAATTCTCCTCCCGCGGGACAGACTGGCGTTCCCACACAGGTAGTGCAACAGGTGCAGACAGCACAGGTAATGCACACACATATGTACATATGGGATATCAAAGCCATAAAGATCAAATGAATTCCAAAACTGTGGTGATTTGTGTCCAGCAGAGGTCCGTGGTTCAGGCCACAACCAAGAGTCAAAGTGGACAACTGGGGGTCAGTAATCTACACATCACACCTGAGGTACAAATACACACACACACACACACACACACACTTCATAACTGCTTTAAGCAGAATGACATTATAACATGCCTGCCACATATATGGGAGGTCTCATCTACTGTAATGGGTTCTTCTTCAGTTATGTAATATATATAAGTTCAAACCTCAAAAGCTTGGTTTGATGAAAGTGTGCTTGCATTATATTTCTTTACAAGCAATGTCACTTGGTTTGATATTTCGCAATGTTTTTGCAATGTAGCAAGCAATAACTTTTATACTGTACATTTTTTTAAGTGTGTTTTGAGTGGTCAAATACTTTTTGGGTAGATTATTGTGTTTGTATTATAACGTGATTACTAGAAACAATTTGCACCAAAAAACACACTATATCTATCTATATATATATATATAGTCATAATATTAATTAAAATTATTAACAGAATTAATAAAATTAGTTACTAGATTTTTATTTTGATGTTTTATCTAAATATAAAAATATACACAACAATGTATACATTTATGATTTTTTATATTATATATGGATACAATTTAAAAACAAAAGTCAAATCACGTCTATATAAAATTCTAGCTGACAGATTAAAAACGTTTATATGTAAAAGTACAGAATTTATTATATACATATATATGTGTGTGTATATATATATATTCTGTACTTTTATATATAAAAGTAAAAAAAAAAACTTGAACACACACACACATATTCAGTGGGGGAAAAAAAGTATTTAGTCAGCCACCAATTGTGCAAGTTCTCCCACTTAAAAAGATGAGAGAGGCCTGTAATTTTCATCATAGGTATACCTCAACTATGAGAGACAAAATGAGAAAAAAAAATCCAGAAAATCACATTGTAGGATTTTTAAAGAATTTATTTGCAAATTATGGTGGAAAATTTTACGTAGTTTACATAGTTTAATTTTACATAGTCATTTAATTGTAATTGTCTAATTATTATAATATTTTTATTCTGTTGTCTCAGATGTCCAATGAGAAATAATCTGGTAAATTTAGTTTTTTACAGGTGCAAATGAACATTGAACATTGTGTCTGTATATTTTTGTATGTTTATATATTGTGTGAAACTATTATCAGCACTAAAATGTAAAGTTTATTTTAATATATTTAAGTAAAGATTTAGATTTGACATTATATAGACATGCTTTGTGATGTTTCCCCTCATACCTGACTCTGATTAAACTGACTTTTAAGAGTCTGATGTGAAACTGCTGTTTGTTTGTGTGTAGGTTCCTGTACAGCATGTTTACCCGAGCCAGTTTGTGGAGGGAGACGCCAACTACAACAATACTGCAATGTGAGCATCAGCACACACAGTGATTGTGGTGTATATTTAGCTTCTCTTTACTCCTGAAACATTTACCTTTCTCTGTACTTGTTCTTCTCTTTCCCTTTTTTAGTCGTTCCAGTAGTTACCAGTTCACAGACCCCTCCCTCTACTCCCAGGCCACGCCCTCTGTCACTTACTATGAGACCTCGCCCACCACCGGCTCACAGGTCACGTCCCCCGCCAGCACTCAGCCTGTGTCTGTGACATCCGGGATGGGCACAGGGGTGGTCTCCATGTTCTCAGAGGGCAGTTCGGGGATCACCGTGGTGGCTGGCGGGTCCTCGTCAGGAGTGGGCGGGTCAGGGGGCGTGGTCACCAGCGGAGGGGTGGGGGGTTATGTGATTCAGGGCGGGTACATGTTTGGTGGAGCCGGTGGAGGGAACCAAAATTTCTCACACAACACGCGCGCATCACCCGCGACTGTGAGTGTATTTGTTTTCTTCAATGATGATTCAGAGTTTCACCCAGTATTGTTATTTTGTTGACTAAAATTAATTTTAGTAATTGAAATAAAATAAAGTGAAATAAAATGAAATCCTAGAAGAAAAACTTTAACTTTTTAGAAATTTAAATGAAAATTAGAAGTGTTGCCTGGGCGGTTAACTGAATTAAAATAAGTTTAAGTACTAAAATTACTAATAATAATAATTTAGCACATAACAAAATAATAAAAAAATAATAGAATAATAAAATACAATATAAAAAAGAATAGAATAGCAAAATATAAAAATAATAGAAGAATAATAATAGCACATAACAAAATGACTAAAACTTAAACTAAAACAAAAATTAAAACTGAAAATCTAAAAATAAAGCTAATACATTTTTTTTGAATAAATACTATAATAGTATATAAACAATGCTAAAATACACAGAAAAAAAACACTGAATTCACCCATAAAACAGGTAAAAAAGGAGTTTTTGATTGTGTGATAGTAAGTCAATTAACACCTGCCGTCTGTCTCCTGTCTGTGTTCAGGTGCAGTGGCTGATGGATAACTACGAGACAGCTGAAGGTGTGAGTCTTCCTCGCTGTACCCTCTACTGTCATTACCTCCTGCACTGCCAGCAGACCAAGCTGGAACCCGTGAACGCCGCCTCCTTTGGCAAACTCATCCGCTCCGTGTTCATGGGCCTCCGGACCAGACGTCTCGGCACCAGGTACAATAAAGCTTCAACAAGCAATATGAACCATTTTTCTTTATTTGCATATTCATTGTACTGGGTAGCTCCACCCACAGTAAAATCTCTGGTCCAGAATTTGCTCCACATAACTGAGCATTAAACATTAAATGTGTTCTGATTAGCTGTGAATGCATCATGTTGTGCAGCACTTTTTTTTATTTGCTAGAATATTTTAAAATAAATTGTATTCATGCTAATTTGAGATATAAATATAAAATAGAAAACAACAATATTAACAAAAACTATAATAGTATATGAATGCTACTAAAATAACAGAACAGGCTAATATTAAAACACCTGTGTGTGTGTGTGTGTGCGTTTGTGTGCGTGTGTTTCAGAGGGAACTCTAAGTACCATTACTATGGCCTTCGAATCAAGAGCAACTCCCCCCTGCACAGACTGGTGGAGGACCAGCAACACCTGGCCATGAGACAACAGCCGTACTCACAGAAACAGAGGTGTGTGTGTGTGTGTGTGTGTGTGTGTGTGTGTGTGTATTTATAGTTTGTGTATTGTTGATCACTTGCTGTTGTTAGTTTGACTCATAGCCCTCATCTCTTGAGATAGGATAAAGCCTGTTCATAAGCTGGAGGGACTGACCAATGGAATGGGCCTGGGGGTGGGGCATCTACAAGGGGCGGGGCTATCCGACATCAGCGCCCAGGTTCACCAGTATCAGCAGTTTTTAGGTAAGACAAACACAAAATGTAGGAGCAGCTCTCTCTTTTAGACATATAATATTACTCTACATCAACTTTTTGAATGTGTGTGTTTTAGATGCGTCTCGCAGTCTGCCGGAGTTCCCTGAGCTCAAAGATGAGGGTAAACCTCTGCCAGATGGACTCCATCCTCAACACGTACACACATATCAGCTGATCTACAGAGAGCACTGTGAGGTGAGTGTATGTGCTGGATGTCAGATGTGTGGTTATTTTAGTGTTTTGGTGATTAATGTTTGTGTGTGTTTATAGGCGATTCTGGACGTGATGGTAAACCTGCAGTTCCCTCTTGTGGAGACGCTTTGGAAGAGTTTCTGGAGGTTCAGTGAAGGACAAAGCAGCGACACGGATACACTCGACCTGTGAGATACATTGGCTTAAAGTACAGTCACAAGTGTTGTGATGTTGTGTTGTGTCTCACTGATGTCTCTGTCTCTACAGTCATGATGAATCAGAGAAGCGTTTGCCCAAGTTGGTTCTGGTTCTGTTGTGTAAATATGAGCCCGTCCTCAACTGGGCTCGCGAATGCGACAATTTACTGTACCAAAGCCTAGTGGAGATCCTCATCCCTGATGTCCTGAGACCAATCCCCAGTGAGTTCTCACAACTCTACATATATCTCTATACAGTAACTAAATAAACTCTATCCTAGTGAGTTACCCAACTCTACACAATCTCATATAAACTCCATTCCAGTGAGTTACATAACTTTACATAAACTCTATAGAAACTACATCCTAGTGAATGACACAACTCTACACAAACTATAGAAACTCTATACGGTAACTACATAAACTCCATCCTAGTAAGTTGCAGCTCTTCACCATCATTTAAACAACGCTATACAAACCCAATTAATTACAAAATTCTACAGATAAACTTTATATAAACAGTATCCTCAGTGAGTTACACAACTCTACACAAACTCCATATATACTCTGTCCCACACAGTTACAAAATTTGCTATGTAAACTATATATAATCATCATCCTCCCGGAGATACACAACACTATACAAACTCTATACAAGTTACAAAATTCGATACAATTCCATTTAAACAAAATGCACAGTAAGTTTCACAAACCTACAGTAACTATATAAACTCCATTAATTTCAACTGTTCATCTTCCTGTGCTACACAATGCTATATAAACTCCAATGAATTCTACGTAACTACATAACAACTTCATATAAACTCAGTGAGTTATAACACAACACAAACTCTATATGCACTTCATTCCAGTGTGGTACAACTCTATAGTAACTCCATCCACAGAGAGTTACACAATTCTATTAGACACAAACCTATAAAACCTTGTACTTATTCAGACTTCATGTAAACAACATCCCCAGGGAGTTACACAGCTCTACACAAACACCATTTCAGTTAGTTACAAAACATGCACAAACTCTATACAGACTTAAACACCATCCCAGTGGGTTACAACTCTACACAAACTCTACATCAACTCTATCCACAGTGAGTTAAAGAACTCTATAAGAGATAATCCTATAAAACCTTATACAGTTTTGCACAACTCTACATAAACAACATCCCCAGTGAGTTACACAACTCTGTACAAACTCTATACAAATTCTATACAAATTCAATTCATAGAGCTACAAAACTCTACCGTTACCAAAATTTGATATAATTTATATATTTATAATTTATATAATATATAAAATTTTTCACACTCTATACGACTTGATATAAACCTATAAACTCCATAATCTGTGAAATGCACAATTTGAGAAAAAAAGTAACAGTTGCTTAACTCTGTGCAACCATACGAAGATAGTGTAAACTCTATATTAACTCTATGCACTTCAACAGAACTCAGTACAGCTTAAGATTCTCAACATTTGTCAATATACAGCGCAGCTGCGTTCAAGGTGACCCGAGTTCGATTCCCATCTCCAGGTCCTTTGCCTATCCCACCCCCCTCTCTCCACTCAATGCTATCCTGTCGTCTCTCTACTGTCCTATCCTAATAAAAGCCCATAAAAAAACTGATGCCATGTTAGGGGTTTTAGTGTCTTTAGTTGTTATATCGCCATAATCTCACAGTGTTTGTGTGTGTTTTGTAGTTCTGTGGTGATCAGAGATCTGACCCTGCGCAGTGCCGCCAGTTTCGGCTCGTTTCATCTGATCAGACTGCTGTATGACGAGTACATGTATTACCTGATCGAGCACAGAGTCGCACAGGCCAAAGGAGAGACGCCCATCTCTGTCATGGGAGAGGTAGACATACAAACACACACATGCATGCATACTGTCAAACAGACAGTCATGCAGCGATTTAACTTTGTGTTTGTTGTTTCAGTTCGCCTGTCTCAACAGAAGTCAAAGGTCAATGGATCCTGATAAAGGTACGTACAGAAACGCACACAGAGACACCTGTCTGATAAATCAGAACATGAAAACTCTAGCAACCACCCAAACACTGTAGCATCAGGAAATCTCATTGATCGTGTTGGTGTGTGAATGTGTGTAGATGAGGAGGATGAGGAGGAGGACGATGAGACCGATGAGGATCAGGACATGGCTGTTCCTGGGGTTGTGGGGGAGGAGTCACTGGAGCCGCCCTCCAAACTCGCCCGAACGGAGCTCTACAACAGCAACACACCAAACTAACTTCAGCCTCTCGGACTGACGTTCATTCACACTGACACTGTCAGTCTGTGCAAACAAGGACTCTGTATGCTGAGCTCATTTCCCTGGGAGCCAGTTTGGGATCGAAATACAATCTTCAGTTTTGTTCATTATTAGGGGAAGTTCAGTTTCAGTTAATTTCCTGGAAACACAGAGAAACTGAGCGATCGTTTGAGTTTCCTGAGGTGAATCAGCCCTCAGAGCTGCTGAATGATCTAACGAAGCTTTTCTAGAAAACGGTAACATTCATATGCCTTAAGTAAGTGCACAAACACACACACACACATTTTCATTGCCTTCCCTTTGCAAATCAAAGCTACCATGTGTGTCGTGTCTCGACTCTTAAAGTTACAGTTCACCCAAAATTAAAACCATTTGCCCTCAAGTCATTCCAAAGTCATCTATCTCCAAAAAAAAAGAAGAAAGTTATATAATGACGAGAGGGTGAATAAATAAAGATGGACATTTCATTTTTGGGCAAACTGTCGCTTTAAGAGCCCTGTTTTGATGAACCTCCACCTGCTCCATGCTGCCATAGAAATCATTCTTTGCCAAAGCCAATCATACGTCACCTAGTCCTGTTCCTCATTAATATTCATGAGTGTGGTCATTTAAAGTGTAGCTAAAAACTGCAGCAGCAGATTTTGCCTTTCACAGCCGTAACACCATGTCCTTTCATGCTTTTGACTTGTTTTTTCTTTCTTTAAATAATAATGAAAATTATATATATTGTTGTGCTTTAATCAGCTGTTTATCTTTGATGTTTTATGATTTGAGTCTGATGCTAACGGATCAAACGTGCCTTCAGAGGATTATTCAATCTAGAGATCCATAAACGTATAAATAAATGTCAAAAACAATCATGAGAATGCTTTTTTTTTATATATATATCTGAAATCTCATCAGGCCTCATTTGTAAAACACAAGCAGAATCAATTTAGTGTAAATTGTTAAACCATTTTCAGTTATCAAGTTTGGTTGACATGAATGAGATTCAATGTTTAATATTAAATGAGAGCATCTTGATTCATCTGTCATTTTTCCTCATTTCACACGAATCATTCGTTCTACATCCACACAAATGTAGCCGAACACAAATGATTCTTTTCAAACAAACACTGAACACATTTATTAGTGAAGAGTACAGAGATGTTTTGTGATTGGACGCTTGGGTGCAGTTCATGAATATTCCGTATCTAATTATGGTGGTTTTGACAGCCAATCAGCAGCTAGTGTGTAACTCGCCAGTGGTTAGAGCCAAATCTAATGTGTGGAACAATTCTGCAGCAGTTTTAATGAAAAAAAAGAAGATGATGATATGCTAGTGATGATTATGAATACTAATGTAAGAGTTTAGCACAGGTTTATATTGTTTTTGAATATATATATATGTCAGTGTTTCTTTAATCATACTATAAGAGTTGCTGCAAATGGTATGATTTTAGTTGTGTGAAATTATTCCAGTGTATGATTATGCTAATGTATGATATAGTTTTATGATCTTGTACTGTTGAAACCATAATGGCCTTATTTGAAGTGTATCTGTAGCAGAGATCCATGTACAAATCTGTATTATTGTGCCTCAAAGTTCAGTGTCCCTTTAAAAAAATCTTTTAAGAAAATGACGCATTCCGATGTTTTGTGTTTGTTACAATTACGCAGTTCACTTATTTTCAGTGTTGTTGTTTACTAAAACCTATTAAAAATAGTTTTCGTTAACTGAAATGAAGCTGAAACAAAATATACATTTTAGATGGAAAAACTTAACATTCACAAATTAATCTGAATATAAGAAATGTTGCCTTGGCAATGAACTGAAATAAAATTAATTATTAAAACTAAAACAAAAAAACATTTCAAAATTAATGTAAAATACTACCAACAAAATTCAAATGAAAGCTGAAAAATAAAGCGAATTAAAAATGATAAAACATTATTGCATATAAATCATATTAAAATAACACCGCTCACTTTGATGCAATGAAAAGTCATAAAACCAGAAAAGTACTGAAGGAATATTTAATTTTTATCAAAAAATAAAGTAAAACAGCGTTGCATAAAAACAATATTCTCATCCAGTCCAGCTGTGAGGCCACAACTAGTGTTAAAAAAGAGCAGGAGGGGTCGACAGCTTCTGATTGGCTGATGACTCGGTCTAAACGATGTAAACAACTGCATCCTAAAATAAATCAAGCAAACAAATACAGATGAGCCCCAAAGCAACGTCTCATTTCTGTCCATTCTGTCACACTTTCCAATTACAGGGCTTTTCAAACAGAAAAAGAACTACTTCAGTCCATTCCACAAACATCAAAACAAGCGTGTATAAGTGTGCAAGTTTAACAGAGACAGACGTTCAGTTCTGCTTTGCAGTGGGATGGTGATCGCTGACGTGTTTCATAAAATGTTCCCAGAGTGTCCCGCGCTGTGCACCGTGGATCTGCTCGGCCCAAACGTGTCTTTACGTCAATCACACGGACACACGCAGCAAACACGACTGAAACACTCAAGCAGAGCAGCACTGAGGAGTGTGTGTGTGTGTGTGTGTGTGTGTGTGTGTGTCGTCTCTCTCACAGGACGATCCACGTGCCTCTGTCATTATCAGCCAACACCTGAAGAGAAGAACCTGCAATGAGCAGGAAAAAAAAAAAGTAGTAAAAAACATCTTTTGAACAGTAGTGCAGGTGTATTGCTCATGCGTGTCTAAATCAAACCTTTGTGCAGAGCCTCATTGGTCATGCGGTTGATGTAGCGCGAGCTGCTCTCGGGAACGAGCCACCGCATGACGGTGTTCACACACGACTTCCTGTAAGAGCTCCACACGCTTCCACTGCGGCAGAAACAAACACATAAGAACATCTGACAGACAGACAGCACGGGCCACGCATCCGAAGGTCATTACCTGGTCTGACCTTTGACCTCAGTGAGGTCACCGACACCGACTGTACGGCACGCTCCAGTGTTCAAATCCCAACTGACCTGCAGACTGGAGTGATACGACTTCGGTCTACACACAGACAGAAAACAAAGTATTAATGAACATTTCATCATATGTGTGTGTGTGTGTGTGTGTGTGTGTGTACCTGCAGTGCTCATCCTCACAGTTAGAGAACGCCAGCAGCAGCAGCCCGATGTTTATCACCACTATATTGGTCTCCGGGCAAACCTGTTGCCATAGAAACAGCAGAACACATGCAAATTAGACCACTGCACCAATAGAGCGCAACAGCGGAGTAAACATTCCATTCATCTTTGCTTTTCTACTTCGAATCAAATACTGTAAGGCTCTGATTCTCCTCGTAGCTTATAACACTTTAACAAAGACTTTTTAAAAATCCCTATGCGAAAGATGAACGGAAAAAATACTTCCAGAACCAACGCAACAGAAAAAAAAAGGGGCAGCACTAATGCATTTTGTAAACAAATCCTAACAAAAATGAAACATGTAACACAGCAGCTCCTCCTGAAGAAGGATCACCTCGAGGATGACGACGTCATAGTCGCTGAAGGAGCAGAACTGGGAGCCCCAGTCGGCATCATTCCGGATGACCTCGTTGATGAGATACTCGAAGTCCAGCGTCAGCTGCTCGACACACACACACTGAGAGAGACACAAACACACAAGAGATCAAACACAGCCCAGCAGCATCGGACGTGTGTGGGATCAACACACACCTGACCGCTGAACTGTTCCGTCACCGGCTGCAAGTTTCGTCCCTTCAGATCCGTCACCGTGAAAGGAAGCAGGACTTTATCATCCTCATCTCCTACAGACAAGAGACAGACCAGTGTAGTCTGATTTACAGTCAAAAGACTCTTATGAGTCAGTTCTGTTTAGTGAATCAAGTGAGTGAAAAACAGCATAACTGGTATAGTCTGATCAGAAAACAAATGATTCTTTAGGAGTTGGTTCTTTTTAGTAAGTCAAAAAGGAAATGCAGTGTGACTGGTGTAGTGTGATCACAACCAAATGGCTCTTACGAACCAGTTCTTTTTAGTAATTATAAAACATACAATGTGATCAGCATAGTGTCATTCATTAACAAACAGCTCTTACGAATCAGTCCTTTACAGTGAATCAAAAACATACAGCACGACTGGCGTAGTCCGATTCATGTAAAAATGACTCTTATGAATCAGCTCTTTTTAGTGAATCATAAGCGTACGGTGTAACCAGTATAGTCTGATTCATCAACAAATGACTTTCACGAGTTGAATCTTTTTAGTGAATCAAAAACATACAGCACGACTGGCGTAGTCCGATTCATGTAAAAATGACTCTTATGAATCAGCTCTTTTTAGTGAATCATAAACGTACGATGTAACCAGTATAGTCGAGTTGAATCTTTTTAGTGAATCAAAAACATATCACACAAGTGGCACAGTCTGATTCATGAACAAATTACTCTTGTGAATCAGTTATTTTTAGTGAATCATAAATGTACGATATGACCAGTATAGTCTGATGCATGAACAAATAAATTTTATGAGTTAAATCTTTTTAGTGAATCAAAAATATATACCACGACTGGTGTAGTCCAATTCATGTAAAAATTACTCTTATGAATCAGCTCTTTTTAGTGAATCATAAACGTACGATGTAAGCAGTATAGTCGAGTTGAATATTTTTAGTGAATCAAAAACATATCATACGACTGGCACAGTCTGATTCATGAACAAATGACTCTTGTGAATCAGTTATTTTCAGTGAATCATAAACGTATGATATGACCAGTATAGTCTGATGCATGAACAAATTACTTTTATGAGTTGAATCTTTTTAGTGAATCAAAAACATATCACACAACTGGCACAGACTGATTCATGTAAAAATGGCTCTCATGAATCAGTTCTTATTAGTGAATCATAAACTTATGATGTGACCAGTAAAGTCTGATTCATGAACAAATGACTTTTATGAGCTGGTTCTTTTTAGTGAATCACAAAACACAGTGTGTCCGACAGAGTCTGATTCATAAACAAATGACTCCGGTTCTTGCAATTAACAGTTCAAAAACACAAGCTACTGGTTTGAATCATTCTTATTCATCACTGAACCTAATATATCAGATCGGTTTCTGAATCTAAATCTGACCCCAAGTTTTGGGTGGGTGGGTGTGTGTCTGTAATGACAAGAACAGATGAGAAATGTCGTACCGCTCGGCTGCTCTGACGCTCTGGCCTGCGGTAGTCTGTATCTGAGAGTGGTGTAGTTGACGTAAGCAGGCTCTGAGGAGGAAGAGGAGGATGAAGGTTCATGAGCATGTGGAGACAGAGAGGAGACGGAGGAGGTGGATCCAGGAGACATGACTGTGTTACACACAGCACTGTCCTCTGCCTCTGTGGGCGGCACTGAACTTTGGTTCTGTCCTGAGGAGGAAGACGAGGGTCCCGGGACCTCTGCGTCTCGTTCCTGTCTCTCTCTCGGTCGCTCCTCTTCATTGTGGAATCGCTGGGTGTCCGTCTCTTCTTTCTCTTTGGTTTTTCTGTCATGTTCCCTCGCTCCAGCCTGAGCTCGGCGGAAAATGTCAGCGGCGAACTCTCTGGCCCGCACGGCCGCCTGTGATTGGCCGGAGGAGAGCGGGGTGAAATGAGGCTTTGACTGTCTGAGGTCAGGTGACCCCTGAGACGAGGTTGATGAGGATGAGGAAGGCGATGTAGGTCCAACAGGAGGAGAAGAGGAGGAAGCATCTCTCTTACGGTAGAGAATCTGATTGTTTTGACCCTCCTGCTGCCCGTCTCCTACACCGAGAGGAATTCACACATCAAATGAAATAGAGATCATTAAATCACACTAATAATTGAACACTAAAATAAATAAACAATACACCATATTTACTATAAATTAATTCAAAAGATTGTAGCAAATAAATGTTAAAATGTTTGAAATTTATATAAAAGATCTTTTTAATGTTTTTGAAACAAGTCATTTGCATTAATTTGCTTAAAGATACAGTAAAAACAGTAATATTGTGAAATATTATTGCAATTTAAAAGAACTGCTTTCTATTTAAATATATTTTAAAATGCAATTTATTTCTGTGATCAAAGCTGAATTTTTCAGCATCATTACTCCAGTCTTTAGTGTCACGTGAAATCATTCTAATATGCTGATTTGTGCTGAAGATCAACATTACTGATTATTATCAATGTTGAAAACAGTTGAGCTGCTTCATATATTTGTGGAAACCGTGATCCATTTTCTTTGATGAATAGAAAGTTGAACAGCATTCATTAGAAATAGAAATCTTTCGTAACATTATAAATGGCTTAACTGTCAGTTTTGATCAATTTACTCAGTACTTGCTGAATACAAGTATGAATTATGAAAGTATTAAAGTATGGAAAAAAAATATTTTTGAACGATAATGTACATGAATGAATTGAAAACGGTGTCAAACTGAATTATTTCTATTTAAGAATTCACATATTACAAAAAAGACCAAAGCTTTTTTACTTTTTAATTTATGTATTTACCTTTTATTTACTTTTTGTATTTATTTATTTATTTATTTCAAATGACTCCATATGATCCAGTGGTTTGAATTAATTGGTCAGTTTGAAGAACATAACTATTGAGTAACAACATTCTTTTATTCATTAAATTTCAAAGAACTGTCCAAACAATCCACTTCCTAAAACAAGTTGCATTGAGAGAAAGCAAACACACACATTCATGTGGCCATCAACAAACCAACACACACTGACGTGACGTGAACAAACACTGGCTGTGTACCTGAGCAGAGGGAGATGGCGCAGGCCACCAGAGAGTAGCTGGTGTTGAGCAGAATCACCTGGTCCTTCTTCAGCTGCAGTGCCGGCTGGAACGTCGGGAATGGATAAACCACCTGATAGCGAGCGTTCAGAACGTAACCGTGCTGCAGACACTCGCCACCTGCACACATGTGAACGGAGAAAAGTGTTTGCTTGCTAGGAACTGGAAAGGAGCTATTCATCTATGCTAATAGAACACCAATGCACCTGTGCGTATGGTGGACACGGAGGACGCGGGGCAGCACTGTTTGCACGGTTGTGCGGGAGGCATCGAGGTGATGGTGATATAGATGTCCCTGTTGTTCTCATCACTCATCATCATGTTCATCAGGGCTGAACTGGAGCTGCGCGTGCTGACAGATCACAGAGTGCACATGTTTAGATAACCGTAATAACCCAACCACTGGCTCATAACACACAGCACAGAGGAGCAAGGCTCTTACTTAAAGCCAAAGACGACCAGCTTGGAATGATCATTGTGCCACTCGCAAACGGTCAGATAGAGATCGCTGTAGATGTCCTCACCCGCAAACAAACGCACATGATGCACCTGCAGAGAGAGACAGATAAAGTTCATGTTACATCATGGGGTAATCTTTAGACGTCTGTTTAGTCTGTTATATACAGCAGATTTTACATCAGTTCAGTTCATTTTATTTACAAAGCACAATTAAACAGCAATGGTTGACCATTGTGCTGAACAGTATTGTTTGAAAGACATCAAAGAACATAAAATGATATGACAAGACAAACAATAGCCTAATCATTTTTAAATAAGCCCCTGTTGGCTCATACACTATAAGCCTTGTTTTAAAAAGGGATTGTGTTGCAATTGTTCTACACATAGGAAGGCTGTTCCATAGTTTAGGGCCCAAACTAGAGGTCCGAGCATAATTGCTACAGTCTTACTCTCACTGAGGTTCAAAAAATTAAAGAGACATCCAAGCTTTAATATCAGACAGACAAGCAGTTAAAGCACTCAGACCCTGGATGTCATTTGGCTTAAAAGGCACATCAATTTGAGTGTCGTCAGCATAACAATTGTGCTTATTAAAAATTGAACCCAACGGGAGCATATATAAAGAAAAGAAAATGGGAGCAAGGACAGAACCTTGAGGAACTCCACAAGTCAAAACTGATTTAGAGGATGAGCACCCAACCACACAAACTGAGAAAGTTCTACTATTCAAATAGGAACATATATACCTGTTTGAGGCGGCTGTGCAGGTTGAACTCCCACCAGTACAGGTGATATGTGTAGAAGGAGAAGTCGTCGTCCTCGCCACAGTCACTGGTGTAGGACAACACATACCGGCCACATTTGGTGAAGCCCAGGAAGATGTGCCTGTGACAGGAGAGAGACCGACCAATCAGATACAGCATTCATATCACTCCGAGATAACGGACGGGACCGACTGCATCTTCTCCTCACCCTGCTCTGAGGAACTCCTCACTGACGATGGTCTTCAGCGGGATGCAGACGCGTGGAGGGAGTTTACGGATGAGCCGCTGAGAGAGATGCCCATTCAACTGACAGATATAAAGAGATATATTAATAGTAACAGAGTAATGCACCTGGAAATATTAGCCATAAGTACAGTTAAATTGGTTGTTAGACTGACTTTGTAGAGAAAGCTGCTTAATCAAGGTTGTTTTGGTTAAATATTGAAAACATGATAGTTATGATGATCATGTTTCCACTGAACACTACTTGGCTGAGGCATTTCTACCATTCATTCATGTTAAATATTGACCTATTTACAGTAATGAGATGGCGTTTAGGATGGAAACTGTTATTTCGATGTGAATGATAGATGTCAGTGGAGAATAATGCCGAATCTGCTTTTGACCATTGATGGGCATATCAATAATGACCGATTCATAATCATGAACATTGTTTGTTGAACATTTATTGTTGCCCCCAAGAACCGCATACACTGCAAATAAAAATGTTTCCATTGTTGCGTCCATTAAAATGTTCACATATATAAATAATAAACACTGGGAGACACATACTGACGTTAAATGAGGCTACAGCTAAAAATGCTAATAACACACACATTATTATCTACGTTACGCTTAGAGGAAAAAAACATTTCATGTCATAAATGCCACTTTTGGCCCAAATCCCCCTTTCTGCCTACCCGCCCACGCGTAAGCAGTTTGACGATGTGATCTTTGTGTTTTTTCTGTTGTTTTTGTTTGTTGTCGTCTTTCTCCGATTTCGAGCTGGGCGCCATTTTTGATTTTTGCCAGCTCTTTGGATTTGCCCTCTGTCCAGCCCGGCCAGCTCGCTGATTGGCTCTGCGTCCTCAGATGAGGGCTTTGATTGGTCACAAACGTCGTCAATCAAAGAAACGAGGGCGGGTGTTCTGCTAGGTTCTGCATATTATTCACCAATCAACAACTCTAATTTTTGTTTACAATAACGCATATTAAGTGTTCAAAAGTAATTGTTTGAAAATGAGATAATATTTTATGCGGTTTCTGATTAGTCTGCTAATCTCATACGTAATCGTCGTCTCAATCTATGCACTGCAGTAAATTATTAAATTATAATGTATTTTATATTTTATATTCTATTACATTATCACGTTTTTAAACGCTTCATTAAATTAATAAATTAATGTAAACTTTCAAAAAAATTTAAAGTTGCCATTCCACATGCTACATTTGTGTCACACCGTCATATTGTTATTGTCGAGACATTCATACCTGTATACCATGGGGTGGAGGACCTTAGACCTGTTTTTATACAGTCTATGCCTGAAGGTGTGTCTCTGTTGAAACAGTTGATACATGAATGTTTGTGTGAAATCCCTTCCTTTCTATACATGTGGAGTCCCAAGCCATTGTTAAGCTTTATTGACATTACTAATGCAAAACATACAATACCAATGATTAATTAATGTCATGCAATAATAATTAAATACAGCTATTTAATAAAAAAATTACTGTAACAGAAGTATAAATCATTCTTGCTGAGTTCAGTAAGCGCGCGGGATGAGTCACATTTACTCCGCCCCCTAATTACAAACCCAAAAGAGGCGGGTCTAATGGGCGTGACTCTAAAACGCGCAAGCAGGAAACATGGCGTCGTTGGCAGCTCGTCTCTCTCGGGCTTTTTTCATTAGAAATGGTGCAACACTGAGCCGCAACACTGGCCCAAAATCAGTAAACGCGACAGGGCCGTCTTTCAGCCGAACCGCCGTGTCAACCACATCGGGGGCTGTGCTTCCTAAACCAATTAAGGTGCGTTTATACGAGTCTAAACATTGCCGTTGGAGACTCCCGAAGGGACGCACGGTTGGGTTTCGTGCTAGCCAATGAAAAATAAGAATGGCTTGACTGACACGACCAGTAACCAATGAAATGCTTGGAGCGGCACATAGTTGCTCAAATAAGGAAGTACTTCGTATACGGTTGTTTTTAAAAATCAATTATTTAAAGATATGTCAGTTTAATGATTAATGATAATTTTATAGAAAACTCATTTGCATATTTTTTTAAAACGCCAATTGTAGTTTTCGATCAGCACACGTATATTTTAATTATTATTAATAAATAATAATATTATTATTTAATTTGATCTACTTCTATCATATTTCTGCAGGTCCCGTTCGGTCTGACCCGCATGGTTATAGTGGTGGTTCCGTTCCTTTATGTCGGTAATCTGATCAGTAAAAATTTCGCTGCTCTTCTGGAGGAACATGAGATCTTCGTCCCAGATGATGATGATGATGATGACTGAGTAATATATCAGTTTAATTACCATATATCGTGCATTGCTGTGTGTAGGTGGTTTTCAGATATTCATGTTCTTGTTTTTTCAGAGCATGTTTCACTCGAGCAGTCTGAAGATCCTCTGAGAGGTTTCCAGATGCAGATGAACAGGATATATTTATGCAATAATGAATGAAGATGGTCAACACATTTTTGTGTTTACATCCTGCATTACAGTAACCATGTCCATAAGCCAAAGTTTAATGCTGTTTTTATGTTTTTGAATATTGTCAAAGACAACATGACTTGAGGCTGCCCTCATCAGCCGCCTCTCTTCTATTTAATAAATTGCTTGAATGTTAGTTGCTGGTTGTGTTTTTGTTATATATGTAATGTGTTTTATCATGCATGGTTTATTTTACAATGAAATTACATTGACATTCATACACTTCCACACACGTCCAACAGATGTACGGGGTTTTTAATTATTGTGTTTAACTTAAAATATATCTTGATTTAAGAGCCTGGAATGTTTATTGACTTTCAGCACCACTGTAGTTTCTAACCAACTAGATAAAAAAAAAGAGCTTCACTTAACACAATATCCTGTATATACACATGACCAAAGGGAGATGGAGATATCAGTGCATCCATCCATCTTATTTGACCTCTTGCTGTGCTCTCATTGGTTGGTGCTGTTGCCTAGGAGACGCCCCTCCTCCAGTGCAGCATCAGTGAGTTTGAGGTGTTCTTTAAGTGCATTGATGTCTCTCTCGCTGCGGCCCCGTAATTCAGTCAGCTCAACATACACCTGCTTATAGTGCTCGCTCAACACTTCATTCTCCTGCAGGCAGAGAACATCTGTTACTACACATATAAACAATCAAGCTAAGCATCACTATAAAGGTTTTCATATATATTAATACTGAAGAATAGTGATAAACACAGTTAGGTTTATTTCATTTACACTACCGTTCAAACATTTGGGGTTGATCAGATTTTTTTTGAAAGAAGTCACTTCTGCTCACTTAAGACTGCATGCATTTGATCAAAATGCAGCAAAGAAAAAAACCCCGGTAAAATTGTGAAATGTTATTACAATTCAAAGTACCTGTTTTCTATGTGAATATATTGTAAAATGTATAATAAAACATTTTGCTGAATAAAAGTATTAATTTCTTAAAAAAAAAAAAATCTTACTGACCCCAAACATCTGAAGTTAGATTTATTACGTACGCTTTTTGTCATTGCAATAAGACTAGGAACATGTATAGAGACCTTAGTAAGAGTTTGGACCTCTTTCCTGAGACAGCTGATCTCCTTGTGTAGAAACTCCACCTCGCTCTCCTTCACCTTCAGTAACATCTACAGACGGACAAGGACATGCCAGCATAACAATACTCCACTTTTATTCAATTCTGATACAATTATTCATTTTTTGGCAACATTTTAATGAACGACCTACATACAATTTGTTCTTGCAAAACTTCATTTGTCATACCAAGGGCTATTTAAATTATGTGCAAAAAAAGCTGAAGGATTATTCAAATTGGTGAAAATGAAACAACTAAAATATGCTCTTTCCCTCATGAATGGAGGGGAAAAAAACAATATTATTATTAACACCCACACTAGTGTCATCGTAAATAATGCGTCCACACAAATGGACAAAGACAACAAATTACAGTTCATTTAGCAGGACAAAGGAGCAAAAACAATCTATAAGAATGTATTGCTGTAAAACACAACATATTGACTGATATTTGCTGCGGAGGGTTTACAGTGCGTTCACGCGGGTGATCAGTAGATGGCAGTGTTTGTCTACAGAAACGCCAATCACTCACATCACATGCCCCGCCCCTCGCTTAAAGGGATAGTTCACCCAAAAATGAAAATTCTGTCATTAATTACTCACCCTCATGTCGTTTCAAACCCGTAAGACCTTCGTTCATCTTCGGAACACAAATGAAGATATTTTTGATGGAATCTGAGAGCTGTCTGACCCTCCCATAGACAGCCACGCAACTGAAATGTTCCCATGTCCAGTTTCTGCACCTTGATCGTGGTAGTTACCTTGCTGTCTATGGGAGGGTCAGACAGCTCTCAGATTCCATCAAAAATATCTTCATTTGTGTTCCGAAGATGAACGAAGGTCTTATGGGTTTGAAACGACATGAGGGTGAGTAATTAATGACAGAATTTTGCATTTTTGGGTGAACTAACCCTTTAAAGGTGCAGTGTGTAAATTTGAGCGGCGTCTAGCGGTGAGGTTGCGAATTGCAACCAACGGCTCACCCCTCCCTTTAGAGAAGCTACGGTGGCCGATTCAGGACTAAGATGTCATCGGTAAAGACAGCAGAGAGCAATGAGATTTCTTTACAAAGGTAAACTAAGGAATTATATTTACTTAATTATTTAATAAATCGATGTTATTGCGAATATATTAATGTACTTGTTCATCATTGTGTCAGTGTTTTATTGGCAAGAACAACAAAGTGAGGAAACGCGCTGTGTAGAGCAGTTTGTCCGTTTAGGGCTACTGTAGAAACATGGCGGCAGACTTCCAATTAAGGGGACCCGCGGTGTGTGTAGATAGAAAGTGCTCAATCTAAGGTAATAAAAACATTACGGTTCATTAAGTAAAGTCTTTATACACCTCTGAAAACATAGTTATGTATATTATATTGCATTTCTGTTAATAGATCGATGTAAATATTACACACGTATCTGTGTAATTATACTTCAGCAAAATTTGTGGATATTGATGAAAGCTGGTCATTTTGTTCAGATCAACAGAATTTTTTTTTTGTTTTTGGCTGTTGTTATTCAAACATTTTGTTTGGAAAGACCTATCTAGGTATTTTCAACAGAAATCTGGATATAATTTAGATATAACATGTAAAGATGTCTTCATATATTATGAATAAAATTATTTCTGTTAACTTCATGGTGAATCTTATGATTTTATATAGTAAATTTCATATGCATAAAAGTAAGACGTGTAATTCTAAACACAGGTTTTAAAGTTTTGGGGCTGAATTTCTTATGTTTATTGATTCCCTTAAATGCACTGATAACAAAAAATCAAATTATACAATTATATTTGCTGAAAAGTTAAAACTAATTGAAAGTAATACCCTGTAATTGCTGTTTTATAACCCCTGTTCACCATGTTTTATGTTGTCTATTTGGATGTCTTGATTCATCTGTACATTTGTTTGTTAAGCATTTAATAAAAATAAAAAAATACAATGCATGTCAAACAACCAAACTCAATTTTTACAGAATTATATGTGCTGTGCACAGTTTGCAAATTGTATGTACAGAGTGGAAATCCCAGATCACCAATTACATTTGCCCAAGTCAAGTTTAGGCTAGTTAGCCCCTGCTGGTTTATGTTGTAATTACACCCTCTGGACTCCAAAAGCATCTTCAATCTCACTCCTCTTATTTCCCAGTGACCAATAACCCAACATCCCACTTTGTGCCCAGAACAGGAAGTGCAGAGGGCTTTTAATTAGGGTTAAGAAAGGAAATGGGGTCAAAGATGACAGCCATCTATTTTCCCCTAAATGGACAATATGGGAATGTAATTTCACCTACGATCTAGGATTTAAAAATGTAAGTATTTTTTGTGGATTCTCTTTTTGGACACAAGAGTAGAATTGCAGGGGAAGGGAACAAATTATTTGCGTAGATAAATCCTTGTTTTTTCCCATGTTTTTGCATTTCTTTGATGGAGATTGAGTTGACTTGTTATTGATAATTTTTTTGCGCAGAGCATTAAATATCTGACTGATCTAGTATAATAACAGTGTTCGAGTTTTAGTAACTTTTGATATATTATCAAATTATTTATCTACTCTGTTGAATGGTAGTGTAATGAAATAAAACCGTTCTGGGTCGGTACGATTTTTAAACGAAAACCTCTTCTGCTCACCAAGGCTGCATATATTTGATCAACTGATACAGTAATTGACTTGTTATTGATTATTTTTTTGCGCAGAGCATTAAATATCTGACTGATCTAGTATAATAACGGTGTTCGAGTTTTAGTAACTTTTGATATATTATCAAATTATTTATCTACTCTGTTGAATGGTAGTGTAATGAAATAAAACCGTTCTGGGTCGGTACGATTTTTTAAACGAAAACCTCTTCTGCTCACCAAGGCTGCATATATTTGATCAACTGATACAGTAAAAACAGTAATATTTTACAGTTTTCTATTCGAATATATTTTAAAAAGTAATTTATTGCTGTGATCAAAGCTGTATTTTCAGCATCACTACTCCAGTCTTCAGTGTCACATGATCCTTCAGAAATCAGTATAATATGATCCAAACCTTTTGAACCATACCGTATATTTTTGGGGACTTACAAGCTGATCGACTGAGCTTCAGTTTACATTGCATCTTGTATGTCCATATATACATCTCTCTGAATCATTAATTTTTTTATTTCATGTACAGGTCAAAGATCAGAGTCTTACCTCTAGTTCGGAGGTGCTCCTTTCGTAGCTGCCAAGGGGAACAACTCCTGACCTCTGACCTGTGATGAAGGATCGCATGAGACTTATCTCCTCCGTCAGACGCGCCTGCAGTTCCTGTGAGAACAGGAAGAGGAAATGTGATTTTGACATCCAAACTTAAAACCACAAACGAAGACGTGCTCATTCACACACTGAAAATGAGACAATCATTTGTGTTTCATGCTGATCTGAAACCCATTTTGTAGCATTTGTATAGTGGCAATAACCCTGATTAGTATTAGCAATCCAGTCCTGGGTGAGTAAACAAAACTCAGTCACTCTTCTGAGAACAATGAAACAGGATGCTGTCTGTTGAGACATCATAGTACAGACACTGAACTCTCTATCGGTTGATATGCGTGTTGTAATTTTGTAAAGGTGCTGTGAGTTAGATTTCAATATCTGACACGAGGACGAAATGTGGTGTCTGAATGATCGCATTTATGGACATCACCATAATTACTAGTGGGACATTTTCTGTAAGCTTCTTTTCACGTTAGGAACGTAACAGTTTATTTAGCAAGGATGCATTGAATTGATCAAAGGATACAGTAAAGACTTTTATAATGTTACAAAAGATTTCCATTTCACATAAATGCTGTTCTTTTGAACTTTCATTATTCAAAGAATCCTGAAAATATATATATAAAATCAAATCAAACATCAAATCAGTATATTAGACTAATTTCTGAAGGATCATGTGACACTGAAATCTGGAGTAATGATGCTGAAAATTCAGCTTTGATCACAGCAATAAATTATACTCTACAATATACTCGCATAGAAAACTTAAAAATTTAAATTGTAAAAAAAAATACTTTGCTGTTTTAC